TTCAGTCGTGCTTTGATCCCATTCCTTTCTATTCCTCTTTCTCCTTTTGGAATGGGAATATCTACCCTGTGCTACTCATTGTAGGTTGGATGCATTTAATTTTCGTTTTGATTTTTATAGGGTCTCATAGCTAAGAGCTTGCCTTGAGTCTCAGAGGAGACTTTGAACTTGGCTTTTGAGCAATGCTGGAACTGTAAGGACTCTGAACTCCTACAGATGGCTAAATGTACTTTGCATAAAGAGATGCGCACGAGTCTTTTCGGGGGCAGGGGTGGAATGTTGTGATGGTCTAGCTCCAGATGCCCCTCAAAGCCTCATGCACTCATAAGTGGGGCTTTAGGAAGGGCTTAGATTATGGGGTGTACAGAGGACTTCCTGGTAGGAGGCAGGGGGTTGGATTATGGGGTGGTACAGATGACTTCCTTGTAGGAGGTGGGGTTGGATTATGGGGTGGTATAGGTGGCTTCCTGGTAGGAGGCGGGACCTGATTGGAAGAGATGGTCACTGGGTGTGGCCTGGAAGGTCCCTCTCTTTTCCTGGCTCCTCCCTTCAATCTACTGTCTGCTTCTTGACCACCATGACATGACCAGCTTCTTCTGTGCCAGACCTTCCACCATGACACTTCTCCCTGGAGCTGCCCACCACACGGGGACTAACACTTCTAATAACCTCCTCGTTTAAGCTGCAGGTGTTGGGTATTTGGTCCCAGTGGCAAGGCATGCTGACTAAGGCTCTTTTCTTTCTCCTGTGGTACCAAGGGTTGAGCCCAGGGTCTTTACACTGAGCTATATCCCTAACCCTTATTTTTTCTTTTGAGGCAGGGTCTCACTAAGCGATCTAGATTGGACTCAAATTTGTGATCCTTCTGCCTCAGCCTCCCAGAGTGCTGGTATTACAGGTAGGTGCCTCCATGTGTGGCTCTGAATCATTCTTTTCTTTCATACATAAGAAGGGTAGCTTAAGTAATCACAGTCATCATTTTCCCTTCTGGGCTACCCTTTTTGGATCTGCTTAGTTCCTCCTCACAGGACATGTCTGGGTACTGTTCCTGCAGGCTCAGTTCCCCCTCACAGAACACATGTGGTACTGCTCCTGTGTGCTCAGTTCCCCCTCAGGGTGCCGTGGGTGCTCACACTTGTGCACAGGAGAACAGGATGCCCCAGTGCAGCTAACCGGGTCTGGGGTGCGCCTGATACCTGGAGCCAGGGACAGGACCTGGATGCCAAGCAGGGGTGGCTCGTGCGACCGCAGAGAGGCGGTGTGACTGAGTTCAGGGGTCCTGTGGCCAGGGAGCCCCTTGCAGGGTGGGCACTAAGACGCAAAATGAAGCGGGGCTGGCGTGGGGGGTGCAGGAGAGGAAGTCCTTCTGCGAGTGACCCCGGGGCAGCGCTGGGAAGGCCCAGCCCGTGGTGGGAGGACTGCGTGAGGACCCCCTGGAGCCCCACCGAGCCCACACCAGCCTCTCTCGCTGCTGTGAGGTGGGGAAGGTCGCGGTGCCCTGGCTTCCCAAGCTGCCCTCATCAGGGGTTGGAAGCTCGCAGCTGGGAAGTCCTCAGCAGCTGAGGGGCCAAGTGCCATTTAGGGTGTGGGTAAAGCAGCCAGCATCACAAGGGAGCGGCCAGGCCCTGCCCTGCGGGGAGGAGAGGGGAGCACCAGCAACCCCACTGCTGCAGTCGAGGCCAAGCCAAGACCCGGCCACTCCACAGCCTGTGCAGGCTCAGGCTGAACTGTGGGGCCCAAGTCCGCCGTTCCGCCTGCTGTGCGGGCAGGTCCAAGCTCAGGGTGTCTAGCTGCATGGGGAGCGGCCTCAGGGACAGGAGGACGTGAGGGATCCCGAGGCCCGGTCCTCACTGTCTCCACCACACTGGTTCCTGTGATGACGGCTCGAGCCCCAGGACGGGGAGCTCCTCCGAGGGTCCCTGGCTCAAGGACACAGGGTGCGGTGCGGGATGGGCTCCAGGCTCCGGCAGAGCAACTTCTGGTCCTCACTGGCAGGGCAGCCCCGCTGCTGGGCCATAGGGTTTCATACATGTGAGCACCCCAAACAGGTGGAGCAGAAGGTGGGGTGAAAGGCGGGGGATGAAGATGGCTGGAAGGAGATGGATGCGGCTGCAGTCCCCCGGTCGTGCCAGGCTCAGCCACCTTCCCGGCTTGCAACACCCAGGACAGCAGGCCACACTGGTAATGCCGGAGGGTCCTGGGCCATCTGCATTCGCACTGGGCACCAACACCTGGGCAGCAGGTGTGGACACGTGTCCTGTGTGGACACGGTGCTTGAGGCAGGGCTGTCGCCTGGTTTCCCATCCTGTGTGTGGGTAGAGGACACAGGCCGGGTCCAGCTGGACATGTGACCTCAGCCAGGCTCCTGGACCCAGCAGGTCCGGATGCAACAGCAGCATCGATGTCCTGTGAAACCAGCCGGGGCTGGCCTTGCTCCTTAAAGGGCAGTGTGGATGCTGGCCTTGGGGTGGTGAGAACAGCCCCTGTGCTCTCAGATACCAGCTGTGAAGCAGCCCTGAGCAGGACTTAAATTAACCAACTGGCTTTTTATGTTCACTTGGGAATCTGTCCAAAGCCTAGGCTGCTTGTCTGGAGGTGGGCAATGGACTCACAGTAAGTGAACCTGTGTGAGTCACTGATCCCTACTAAAACCTGTCATGGTGGATGAAACTGGAAAGCCTCAATGGATAAGACGAGATCACAGCCCAGGAGACCTGGGTTCGACCTCAACTAGATAAAGACTGTAGCCTCAGGCAGCTCACTCCTGGGTGGATTAACTTAATACCGTACTTGGAGAAGTCCTTGAGTGGTTCTGCCCTTCTTGAGTACTCCCCTCCCTTCTTCTAATAAACACGGGTGACCCAGAGAAGGTCTTGGTCTTAGCCCTGAGAGACGCTCAAATTCTGTGAGAGGGCTCTGATCCTCCTGGAGCCCTGAAATCATTCCATTTGCCTCTTTTTATTTAGCCTTCGCTGTACACTTGTTTGGGAGACTGGACACCAACAGCCTGCAATAACTGATGGATTTATCAACCCAGTAGCCATGTAGTCCAGGCTGGCCTTGAATTCATTATGCAGCCCAGGCTGGCCTCAAACTTACGGTGATCCTCCTGCCTCAGCCTCTTCGGTGCTGGGAGTATAGGTGTGCACCCCCATGCTCGGCTTGAGAGACACTGTTGACAGCAGAGAGGACCAGTGTGGGGCTGGCACCAGGTTCCGGAGACCCTGCTTCTCTAAGTTGGTCCAGATGCCTGTGGCCACACTGCATGGAGGGTGGGGTCTCGAGCAGGGGGCCTGCGGAGCTCTTGGGACCCTGCTCAGCCTCATTAAGTGACAGAAAGAGGCCATTTGCAAAACCCTGGCCAGAGGGCTTTCCTGCCCATGCAGTTTCCCTGCATCTGACACAGGTTCTGTTCACTTAGCCAGGACACCCGGCTGTGGGGCTGGGCTGTGCCCAGGATCAGCCCTCCAGACGGCGGTGCCCACAGTGCTAGTGGCCGTTCCTGCTTGTTACTGAGCTTCCAGTCCACGCTGCAGCCCAGCAAGACAGGGCTCCTGAGAACACCACACATGCTACTTTATTGAGAAATACAGCCTGGAACATCACTCAGGGAGCCTGTGGAAGTGGAGAAGCCAGACAGCCGGGCTGGTCACCGCAGACTGCGGCCCACGCTGTGCACGGGGGCACTGGGGCTGCGGGCTCCAGAGGCAGGGGAAACTCAGGTGAACGTCCTGAATGCCAGGGGGAAGTCTGGTTCTCCTCCTCTTCTTCCTCCTTCTCCTTCTTCTTTTAAATCTGAGAAAGAGGCCTCTCTGTTGCCCAGGTAGATCTCAAACTTGTGGGTTCAAATGATTCTCCCGCCTCAGCCTCCTGAGTAGTGGGGATGACAGATGCCTGGCCAGAGAAAAGTTGAACAACACTTTACTCAGCAGAGGGAGATAAAACCCTTTCATCCACGGATGCCGGTGCAGGTGCTGAGGACGCTTCACCAGGAGGGGGCTGCCCACCAGGATTCTGCGGCTCAGGCCTGGTGGAGGGCGAGAGGGAGAGGCCGGCAGATGGGCTGGCCTGGCAGGAGGCCCAGCCGCTGGGGTCCATGTGCCCTGGTGTCCAGTGCTTCTAGCAGTGTTGCTCACAGACTAGGATGCCGGCCCCGGGATCACAAAGCTTCCGCCCCGCCCCAAGGGGAACTGCAGCTTGAGGCTGGCGGATCTGTCACCAGCAAGTGGTGAGGCCCCTCACCCGCACTGGACAAGCAGGTGAGGGGAGGCAGGTGCGCGCCCAGGCACGCGGCACTGCTAAGGGGTGTCTGGGCCTGTCCTGGGGATGTGGGCGATGAAGCACGGGGACTCCCTCACACGCTGCCACCTCACCCCCCGTGGCGCGTTGCCCGTCAGAACACAGCTTGCACTTTAACGGCACCGTGGAATGGCGATGCGCAGAAGGTACCGAACAATCCGACCTCGCTGGGCTCAGCAAAGCCAGCTTGAAGACGGCAAGACAGAGTCCTCGTGTAGGGGACAGGCTGGCTTCTTAATCTAGCACCCAATGACTAACCACAGTAGGGTGGTGGTAACAGAGTTCCTGACGCATGTGCCAGGCACTGCCCAACACTACTCTTCTAAGGCTGCCTCTATGACGCTGTTCTAGAAGCTTTCGTAGGAAAACACTCAAGCAGGCCTGGTGGGACACAATGTCACCCCAGCTAGTTGGGAGGCTGAGGCAGGAGGATTCCACGTTTGAGTGCAGCCTGGATAATGTAGCCAGGCCCTGTCTCAAGACAAAAAGTTTGACAAAGGGCTGGGATGTAGCTCAGTCCCCAGCACGGCACAGTAAGCAAGCAAGCACGCAGCAGAAGAGACAGAGGAAATCCTGGGAAAATGAAACCCAAGAAAAACCTACAGCTGGGCACAACAGGGATGCACACATGTAGAAGCCTGTTCACTCCACGTTCCACAGTGCAGTGTCCCGTGACGGCCCGTGCGTCCCCCGACACTCACCAGCGGCGTGTCTCTGCCTCCCACGATGCTTAGCCCCAGCCCGGAGCGGCCCTTGGCGATTTCTATGATCATTTCCTGGCCGGGGATGATGGGGCACGTGGCCGGGTCCACGGACAGAGGAGCCTGGGGGCCACCTGGGGAGCGAAGGGGCAGAGGTGACGCTGAGCAGGACAGGCTGGGCTCTCACTCTGGCTAGAGGGCACAGCACCCCACTGCCCTGTACCCAGAAACACTATGGGCTTATATACGATGTAAAAGCCAGAAGGGAAAAATTAAGTGAGTACCTGACTGGTACATAAAGGCATTGTTATAGTGAGAATAAAGGCTTTAAGTGACACAAGATTGAGTTATAAAGCACTAATTAAGAAATAGTACTTAAATTCTCTCCTTCTCCTCTTCCTCTTTTTTATGCTACTGGTAATTCAACCCAGGGCCAGAACTGAGCTCCACCCCTAGACTTTTGTTTTGTTTTGAGACAAGATCTTGCTAAGTCATTAATTTGATCAGGCTGGGCTCAAACTTACAATGCTCCTGCCTCAGCCTCCCAGAGCGCTGGGATTACAGGTGTGCGCCACCTCACCTGGCTTTAAATACTTTCAGTTACATCATGTTATACGAAGCAAGGTGCGTGAAGCACTTAATAAAGCACGATGTAACTGAAACAACCACTATTCAAAGCTTATCTCTTAGTACAGGGCAGGCTAAGCACTGGCACCCAAGCTCCGGGAACGTCTGAGCGCTGATGTGAGGGCTTCCAAGCAGAACATTCTGCCCACAGGCACCAGGCCCTGGGTTGGAGCCCTGAGCTGCAAAAACAGAAGAAGAAGAGAATTCTCTCCCTGACCTCCGGTGATGGTCACAGTCCAATCAGAATGTAGAGCACTAAAAGTGCCACATAAAATCGCCATCCTCTGCGCAGGGCAGAGAGGAAACGCAAATGAGTCTTGTGCTTACACTGGGGTCTCACCCCCAGTACGCTGCTATGTCTCTGCAAATACCCTAACACCTGAAACAATCCCAAATGGGAACTACTTCTGCTCCTAGGCCTCGGGTACCGGCATACCCACATGTGCTCAGTGACACAGGAAGACGCAGGGATTCTAAACACAACCCAGCAATTACTTCTTGGTCCATACATGAAAATCTTGTTAAAGAGTATGGTTGTTCTATAAAGATTTGCTTATAAAACTCCACTGTCTTAGACTGGCTTTTGTAAAAATTGAAGGAAAAAATGTTTACAGACGGAGAGAAGACCATGTGCTCTCAAATCTGCAGGTTTTCCGGATAACTACACCTCACCCACTAAAAAATCAAAACATTCAAAATGTTAAGGGGTTTCAAGAGACAGACTGCAGACAACTGTGTCCCAAGGATGTCATCTTTCCCAATTACTCAGGCTCCTGATGGCTCGGGAGGACCCATCCCCAACCTTGTGAACTAATTCAGTACAGGTGGTGACAGCGCTATCCCCTGGTCACCTGCAGCTGAGGTCAGAAGCTGCCTAGAAAGCCACTGCATGCAGCTGGCTGTCACAGGAGAGCTTGGCTGCTACAGTCCTCTGCCAAGAATGGTGTTTACGTTTTCAAAAGGTATAAAAGCAGAAGAAAAATAGTATTTCGAGACATTTAAAAATTACATGAAATCCAGAATTCAGGGTCCACAAAGCAGAGCTGCACTGGAACACAGCCCCCGGATTCACTCCCATCTGAGTCGTCCCCATGCTGCCGCGCGGAGTTTAGTAGCTGCAACAGAGACTGCGTTGGGACCCCAGCCCAGCAGGTTTACCCTGGGGCTGTTGTGGAGAAGTCTGCCCATCCTAGAACAGAGCTGGCTTGGGCCAGCCTGCAGGTTTTGCTCTAAGCAGCATGGATGAAAGGGCCCAGGGTTTGTAGGGGCAGGAGTTGGATTTGGGTTTCTACTCCAGAAACTGATTTCGGTGTTCAAAAATTAAGGTGAATGCTTAAATTTAAAACACTTATTCCAGGAAGACACACCGCCATGAATCCCCTGCAAAATACCCACCTTACTTTGCACACACTGATCCCATTGTCCCTGCCACTTCCTGCTGCAGCTCTGGAGTGCTCTCCCCTGAGGGTGTTTATGAGGTGTGATCAAAAATACGGTGACTGCTGCTCCCGAGCAGAAATGCAGCTTGTAAAAACACGACACTATGCCTTTTATTCACCAGATCTGGCACTATACGACTTCTCACTCCTCCTCCAAGTCAGAATGATCATGAAAGGGAAACATTTTGAATCGATTCAGGACATCATAGTGGCTGGGGGCCAGCACCTTCCTGTCCACCTGTAGCCATTACCCTAACAGCTTCCTGGGGAAGGGTGAGAACATAGCGCCACGACCTCAGTAACAACACAAAGTGCCACAGCAGAAGTAGAATACTAAATTGTCCACCTAATTTATTTCTTTTTTTTGAGACAGGGCCTCGCTGTGTGGTTCAACGTGGCCTTGAACTCACTGTGTAGTCCAGGCTGCCCTCTAACTCACAGCAATCCTTCTGCCTGAGCCTCCTGAGTGCTGGGATGACAGGTGTGCGCCGCCACGCCCAGCTGTTTCTGTATCTTTTTGTAGTGGGTATACCCCACTGTTTCCTATCACTTATCATGGAAACAGTGTACAACAGGGCACAGTCTCAGGGTGCTTTGCAAGGTCTGTGCTGCTCTGCAAGTGGCGACTCCATGCTCCTTAAGGAGAGGAGACAGAAAGCACAGCGAAGGTGCTGCACATGGCACCGCTTGTGCTCCTCCCAGTGCCCGCTTGCCCGTCCTCTGGGCTCACTTCCTGCATAGAATCACGCCGAAGCCTGGCTCAGATCGAGTGTCTAGGAAGGGTTTGGTGAGAGGATGAATACAGGAGTCACATTTCCAGACTGGGCTGTGGAGTGATGAATTCCTGTTTTCTGGGTATAAAAATTCAAAAACTCAGCTGGTCCTCGTCTGAGGCCAGCAAACCTTCCTGGTAGAGATGGGCACACGGGGCAGAGTGACCACATGGTCTCTGTTGCAGCTACTGGACGGTGCCATCGGAGTGCGCAGGCAGCCATGGACAACGTGCAGACACATGAGTGTCTCAATAAAACTTTATTTGTGGACCCTGAGCTTTTAATTAGATATCATTTTTTTAAAATATGCTTTTGATTTTTTCAACCTTTAAAACTGCGGAAGCCACTCGAAGCTCACAGGCCAGGCAAAAACAGGTGGTAGCTGTCATACCCCCGCTGACCATATTCATCTAGTATTTTATACACATCCAGGACTTTAGAGTCAGATTGATTTTCTACACTTTCATAAAGAGTTAACATTTATAAAAAGAATATGTGAAAGACCAACGCCACAGAACTGTCAGGCCTGAGGAATTCACGCAGGGTTAGGCTCTGCCACAGGCGAGGAGGGGTTTTAGAGAACACACTTCTCCATGATTGATACTGCATAAAAGCAAGGTGGAAATGCTCATTATTCACTGTGAGGTTCTACTTTGAACCCTCCATCAGCATAATTCCAGCCAGGAATTTAGAGGCAGAACATGAGCACCCACTTCTTTCAGGTCTGAGAAGAAGCCTCCACGCAGCTTCCATCAAGATGTGCAGAGCCAAATGCTGTGCTCCATCTGATTTTTAGCTAACTACTCATGATCTAAAGAGCATCTGTCAGCCTCGGATCCAGGCACCGCTCGCTGAGGACCTTTCCTGCCCCAGGACGTTTTCACCGAACCACAGCAGACACCGCCACAGGCTGTGCAGTGACCTGGCCAAGTCTCAAGCTAAGGAAGAGGCCGGGCGGTGAGCCAGGTCCTGCTCAGGTCCTGCTGTCTCCCCGGATGTCAAGAACCGGTTCTGCCGGGGAAGGGGCCATACCGTAGATGGTGATGTCAGCCTCTGCCGATGGGCACAACAGAGCTGGCACGGATGGCACCTCCTGTGAATCGAGGGAGGCTTTGAGGGTGTGGTGCTGCTCATCCCTTTCACTGGCGTCCTGTGAAAGGAAGGACAAATTGTGAACGTCAAGGCAGAGAGTGGCAGAGGTGATTTTAGTGACTGAATTCTCACGGGCAACCGCGAGCTCCAGCAGCATCTTGGGGGATGAGAGGTGGGCGAGGCTGAGGGGTTTCTGCCCCGGCCCTGGCCCTGTGCTTCCCAGAAACTGAACATCTGGAATCCTCTGCAAAGCACGGTCATGGCAGGGAGCGAGGACGGTGCTGAGCACACTGCTGTGGCCTGTGTGGGAAGCAGCAGTTTTGCAGTCTTTTCACTGTGCTGCAACCGATAGGGCATCTGCCAGTGCACCGTGCCCAGCGAGAAGCCATCCTTGCTGCAGGGCCGTGGGCACCAGTAGTGCTGGGCTCTTCTGTGGACACAGCTGGAGCTGTGTACAGAGCACGGGAGAGGCCAACTGGGCAACCTGGCGGGCAGGAGAGGAGAGCGCCTGGGGAAGCCTGCGGGATGCCAGGGGTGTCAGCTCCACTCATCACCCGATCACCTTTCATAGGTGGTACTGGGAAATTGTAGGGACAGTGTGTCTTTGATGAACGTGGGCACAGGCTCTGCCGAGAATGAGGGGGACACTCGGGGCAGGAGACAGACTTGCAGCTCAACAAGGAGCAGAGGCTTCGCTTGTAAGCTTTGGAAAATGCGTTTGTGATTGTGATGAGACCTTCAAGGGGTGTTAGCATTAGCCAAATGATGCTAAGGAAAACCAAAAGGACGCCGCTAGCCTTGAGCGGCCAAAGAGCACAGGCAGCCCCTGGCTGAACTTCCAGATCCCCGCTGGAGGATCTGAGGAGGCCAGGAAGTACCAGGTGACCCAGAAGCCTGGAGTCAGGGCCACGGTCACGTCTGGAACCGTGACACCAGCTCTGCGCCTGCACACAGGTTTGCACGGAGCTTTCTAGTTTCCAAAACACTTCCCACCTAGGAGCTTGTTCAGTCACAAGAACCCGAGAGTTAGTAACATGTTGTCCTGCGGGTAAACTAAGGGACAGATGAAGAAGCAGGACTGCGTCGGCAGTGGAAGTGTGCTACGGGTCTCAAGTGTTACTGAATTTACCAAGCGTGACCCGGGGGAGTTCATTCTTTTTCCTTCCACCTGGACACTGACCATTACTTACTCAGAGAGATCCCTTCAAGCACACATTCAGTGGGGACTTTAAAAGAGAAAGCAGACGACAAAGGAGGGGTCACACGAGAGAGCCAAACGCCAGCGTGACCAAGATGGCTGCTGCCTGGGGACCACGACGTACAATGTTTAGGCCACACTCATGGCGCAGGATGGGTCACTGGAGGGGGAAGGACACAGCTGGACACACTCAGCTCTCGAGGAGGGAGCCCTGGCCTGCCTGTCACCAGATGTGTTGGGAATAACTGGGGCAACCACCTTAGGCACCCATAAATGGACATCTGGATCTGAGAACGGTAACCCAACCAGACGGGAATCACCTAAGAGCTGCCGGGTGTCTCCCAGCTTGGGCACACCAGTACTCACGGTGGACGCCCTGGCAGCGACGGCGCCCGTGTCTTAGCTCCCACTGCACCTACATCTCTTTCATTCTGCATTATCAAGGAAGAACCCGGGCACCTGAGAGAGTTCATCCTGGGTGAACACAAGCCACAAGTTCTCCTTAACAGCTCCTATGTGTGTCTGGGTATAAGCAGGGAGGCAGTACCCCCACGAAGGCTTCTGTGACAGGAGGGGATGCCTGTGGTCTGTCTCTAGCCCCCACTCCATGTAGCACCTGGAGCTTCACAGAAGACCAGTGGGTTTTGGGGCGTCAGTTCCACCCACAGACAAGGAAACAGTCAAGTTGCACCTATCTGTGTTTTTCTAGGGAAAGGGTCTGTACTTCATCAGGTCCGCATGATAGGAAAAAAAGTGACACGAAGCTATGAACTGCTAACCTACTGCTGCTGCTGCTGCTAGTTAGCTGTGTGACCGCACAGGCCACTCGGCCTCCTCATGGGCAACTGGTGGTCACACATCTGCCCCTGCAGGGTCATCGTGAAGGTGAGAAGTCAACTCGTCCCCCTGCCAGGGACAACTTCGGAGCTCAATTAGTAACAGCTATTAGTATTTTTGTCCTTTCATAGAACAGTAACGAGTGCTTTGCCAGCTTCTGGTTGAAAACCTTCAGGGACGGAAAATTCCATTTCCACAAGGAAGTCATTCCATGCGCAGCAGTCTGGTGGCGAGGCGATCTTCACAAAGCACTCGTGTGGCCTTACCATGGCGCTGCCCCTGACCGGGGGCGGTGTTCTCCATGGTCACAGGGGAGCTCCCGGTGACCTTCCCAAGGAGAAGTCGCTAGACCTTTCCATTCGCTGTTTCAGTGAAGGAAGACGCGTGGGTGACCCAACACCACCCTGCCTCCTCGAGGCTGTTCCCACCACCCTTCCTCCCCACCCCCAGGACCTCAAGAGCCGCGCCATCCAACTCTTCCCACGCCTCAGGGTATCGCTCCAAGGCTGCTCTCACAGCGGCACCCTCTCCACCTGAGCCCGCTGGCTCTGCCTATTTCTGTCTTTAATTCCCCACAGTGAAACCGGATCTTCACGAAGTGTCAGGGCCAAACGGGCTGAGGTCCGGGACTGCAGTTCCAGGTGCACCCAGGTGGGTTTCAGAGCACAGCGAGCGTGACTCGGCGGGAAGCTGTAAGACGACCAAGGGGCTCGGCTCTCCAGTGTGACCCCGCGCTGTCTGTCCTCTCTCTGAGAGCTGGGCTGCCCAGTGGCTCTGAGCAGGTTCCAGGCTGGATCCGGCTTCACTGGGTGATTGCTGGCAACTCAGTTCATGTCCGAGAGCCTCAGTTTCTCCACTCTTACTCGACGAGCATGAAGTAAGTGACCAGCTTATGAATGAATTCCATTCCTGGAGGTCTGCAGGTCAGACTCATTCACAAGCCCCACGAAGCAAGTCTCAGACACCTCTGACACAAGCACACAGTGTGTGCTGCTTCACTCTTCCCCGTGTGCCCCCATGGCACCACTGCTCTCCTCTTGCTTTCTGGACGTCCCAGGCTCTGACTGAGCACTGCAGGGCTGTGTGCTGTCACGCTGTGCAGTGAGCACACAGCAGCACAACCAGGACAATGTCCAGCAGACAGAGCTACTTCTGCGATTGCAAAGTCCGTTTGTATCTGTGAAAGTTTGAAACTCAAATGTTCCTAAGCTGGGCACTCACTACACTAACTTCGGTGTGTGTAGGACCTAGACAGAACCAAAGTGTGGAGGGAAGGTGAGTTTGCTTCCTTTTCTGGAGCTTCCTCTGCCTTCTGACATCAGAACACCAGGTTCTCCCACCTTTGCATTCTGGGACTTGCACCAGCCTGAACCCGACCACTTACTCCTTGGTTCTGAGACCTCTGGGCTTGAACTGAGCCATGCAACTGGTTTTGTTCTGATTCCTTTTATTCCCCCACCCCACCTTTCTGGAATGGCAATGTTCACCTTGTGCCCTGTATGTTCGGAGTACTTAATTTTCTTTTTCATTTTTACAGGGCCTTTCAGCACAGACGGCCCGATGTGGGACTTAGCCTCTGTAACTGTTATGGTCTAGATCTAGAACGTCCCCCAAAAGCCCATGTGTTCAGAGGTGAAGCTTTTGGAAGGTAAATGGATCTTGGGGGTGGTATAAGCTTTAGCTGATAATGACTTCATGGCCAACTGCATTGTGAGGAGGTGGGGTCTGGTAAGAAGAGGGGCATCACTAGGGGTGTGCCTCAGAAGGGCTGATCTCCCTCCCTGGCTCCTCCTTTCTCTCTCTGCTTCCTGGACGCCTTGAGGTGAGCATCTTTCCCTGCCAGGCCTTCCTACCACGCTGTCTCTGCCTTGGAGCCAGCTGCCCATGGACTGAACTCATGGAAGCTGTGAGCCAAAGTGAATCTCTCCTTTACGCTGTGAACGTTCGATACTTTGTCTAAGCAACAGAATGCTGGATATTTGACCAAGAAATCTAATACAGAAAATTAGTACTGGAGAAGTGGGATTATTGCTGTGACATACCTCACCATACTGTTTAGTAGCCTTTGGAACTTGTTTGCAGGAGGAGTTTGAAAAAGTTTGGAGGGCCGGGGATTTAGCTCAGTGGCACAGTGCCCGCCTGGCAAGCATGAGGTTGTGAGTTCAATGCCCAGTACCAAAAAAGAAAAAAGAAAAAGTATGGAGATGTGGGGTGAAGGCCCTAGAATCCTATGAACAGAGACTGATGAGTGATTCTAGTTGGAGACCAGAAGATCACAATGCTAGTAAGAACGTGGACAGTAAAAGCCAGGCTCATGAGGTTTCAGACTGCAATGAGGACTGTACTGGAAATTCGACTAGAGGTCACTTGTGTTACAAGCTGGCAGGAAAACACTGCCTATATCTTGTCCATGAGGCTGTAGGAGGCTGAATTTAAAGGTGGCATAGGTAGAGCAAATTCCAAAACAGCTCAAAATCCGAGCTGTAGCATTGGTACTGTTGGCTGCTTTTAGCCAGACTTATAGTGAGAATTGGGAACAAAAGGCAGAGCAGGAAATTTTGAAAAACTTGAATTGTGCCCCAGAAGAAACCCTGTGTGAAGTTGGGGCCAAAGGAGTGTGGCTGTTGAAAAGATTAGCATCATTAAAAAGGAACAAAGTACTTTGCATCAGGGCATCTCACGAACTGGCCAGATTCCATCCACCACAGGATCAGGGTATAAAAGGGTAAACTCCTCTGAAACATCTTTGGTCTGGAAAGAGAGCCCCAGGGCACTCTGCTCATTCAGGTCCACCTAAGGAAGCGTTGCCCCGAGCTCAGCCATCCAGGCACCAGAGTCCTCTTTAGCTGTGGCTCAAGGCGGCCAGGCTACTGTTCAAGACAGCGGTAGGCCCTGGCTCTTCCACATGGTGCTGGCCTTTCAGGCATGCAGAGTTACAGGGTCACGGAGGAGTCCATCCAGGCTCCAGAGGGAGGCTTAGGAGGGCACTCTGTGTCCCTGAAAGGGCAGTGTGTGGAGCTGAAAGAGTGAAACCAACAGTGCAGCGGAAACCCCAGGAGGTTAGAGAAAACGGGAGCATGGAACTCTGCTGAGGAAAGCTGTGGGCAGTGAGCAGAGCCAGCCCAAGCAGCAAGGCCATGGGGAGAAGAGGCTGCCCAAGCCCTGTGGGGCTCACATCTCACCATACCTGGCCTGGGTGCTGGACATGGAACTACAGGGTTTCGTGTTTGCTCTGCTGGGTTTTGGAATTGCTTTGACCTGACTCATTTCTCTCTCTCTAGTACTTCATTTTAGAATGGAAATGATTGCCCTGTGCTACAGTATGTCGGAAGTAGTTAATTTTCTTTTTTTCTTTTTATAGGGGCTTGTGGCTAAGAGTTTTTGCCTTGGGTATCAGAGGAGACTTTGGACTTTTCAGCAATGCTGGAACTGTCATGACTTTGGTGCTTTTTAGAGGCAGGCTAAGTGCATTTTCAGAACGTGCCCCCAAAGTCCCACGTGCTCAGAAGTGGGGATTCAGAAGGCGACTGCGTCATGGTGCGCTGCACTCATCCGCGGATTTGCCTGTTGCTGAGTTCACAGCTGAACACTCGGAGAAGGAGGGGCCGGGTGGAAGCGGTGGCCACTGGGGTGTGACCTGGAAGGTGCCTAGTCTTTGACTCCTCCCTTTTCTCTCAGGAGTGAACGGCTGTTTTCTAACACACCCTTCCACTGTACTGTGGTCCAGGTGACCACAGACTGATTCTCCCACAAGCATGAATGAACTTAAACCTCTCCTTAGTGTTGGGGACCACTATAAAGTGTCTCTGAGCAGGATTTAATGTTAACCAATTGGCCTTCCATATTTACTTGTGAGTTGTCTGAAGCTTAGGCACCTTTCAGACAAGATAAGGCCACAGCCGAAGACGTTTGGCTCCGATTCCAATTAACTACCAGGAGAGTACAGCTGCAGGCCCCACACTCCTACAGTAAATACCAACCTAAAGATAAGGTATTTCTCCTGATTGACATAATTTACTACTTGGGAAAATTCTCCCAAGGTCCTGTGAGACTGCTGTGTTTTCTTGAGTATCCTCTCCCTTTGTTTGAAAACCTAATAAATACGGGCCGCCCAGAGCAGTCTTTGGCTAACTCAGAGAATAGTGAAGCTGTAAGAGTTAGTCCCTCCTGGTGCCCTAAAGTCATTATATTGTCTGCATTTTATTTAAGGCTTCGACGTCCACTCGCTTGGAAGATTGCAGGCCTGATCATCCTGCAATAACTTAGGGTTATTTAACCCGGTTTTGATACCTTAGCGGTGGGTTTCAGGGTGTTCTGTCCTAGTGACGGGAAAGGCCACTGACACAATCACCAAGCGAGCCGATTCTCCTGACACATCTGCCCTCGTGCAAGTTACTCCTATCAGCCCTGCCTTTCTGGAGAATGCCAACTAGCCTACTAGCAATTGTATTTTGGGGGCTGAAAAATTCACTTCCATTTTCCATGTTATATCTTAATACGTCATTCAGAACAGCTCATCATTTTATGGCTAAACCTTAATACTTTAACGAGAATTTCACGATTATCATCATGAAGAACCACAACTCACTTCTGCAGAGTGGGTACAGTGTGTTTCTGGCATCCTGGAAGCAGTGCTTTAGAGTTGTCAACTCCTTTAATTTTTACTATATTTCTTTGTTTCTTTCCCCATTTTACAGATGCAGAAATGTATGCACAGAGCAGTGGTGTTATTTCCCTGAGGTCACACTGCTCAGAAAGGGCAGGACCAGGATCGGAATCTAAGACACTGGGTTTCAAATTTGCACTCTTAATAATCTAGTTACACTTCCTCAAAAGAATACATTACACAGACACAGGTATTCTGAACAGTATGCACACATCAGGCTTGAGCCTAAGGATTAAAATAACGGCTTCAGAGATTCTTGAGTGTCTGTCGGCAAGCACCAGGGAGTCGAGCACTCTGCAGCTGAGTCCCAGCTCCCCCTTCCCTAGCTTTGTGATTTTTTCATTGAGTAGTTTAAGATTTCACCCATAGTCTCGGATGAATAATTTCTACTTTAATTTTCTAGGGTTAGTTTTTGTTGTTTGCTCCCCACGAGTTTTGTTTACACCGCTGGTTTTTCCCTCATGGCTAACGCACCCAAACTATTCAAAACTCCCATACAGAGGGACTGGAGTGTACTGTTTGCAGCCCTTCGGTGTCTAACCACACTGTACAAACCCTCAGCAAATCTAAGCTACAGAATTCAGTAAGCACCAGGAAGACGCTGCAGAAAGATCTTGCCTAGGCACCTGTGCCATGCCTTGGCTGTGCCACTGACAGAGAAGCAAGAAAGGTGCCCTCTCTGATGTCCGTCAGGCTTTCTGGCTGCGAAGAGTAAGGCATTTTCAGTCACAGAATGCAAGGAAACCATTATCAGATGCATTTTCCCGACCAGCTTCCAGTCATCCCATGTCCTAGAAGACCTACAGTGTTACTCTGGGGTAAGACTGAACAAGATCATGAGACAACTAAGTACCACTTTAGGAAAAATGTGGAATATTAAAAAAAATCAAGCTAATGAGAAACAGATATAATTTTGTTTAAACAACTGAGAAGCTCTGTGCAAATGATTTTTTTAAAAAAAGTTCTTCTGCAGTGGTTGCACCAGTCTACACTCCATCAACAGTGGAGAAGGGTTCCTTTTTCCCCAACAGCCCCTCCAACATTTGTTATGGGTTGATTTCTTGATGATAGCCATTCTTTCTGGGGTGAGATGGAATTGTGGTATTGTTTTAATTTGCATTTCTTGAATGACTAATGATGTTGAGCATTTTTTCATATATTTATTTGCCATTTGTATTTCTTCATCTGAGAAGTGTATATTCATCTCAGATTCTCCTTTTTGGATTGGGTCTGTGAATTTTGGGGGCCTGATTTTTAAAAAATTCTTTATATGTTCTAGATAGAAGTCCTTTGTCTGAGGGATAGTTGGCTAAAATTTTTTCCCAATTTGTGTTTTCTTTTTACTCTGTTGGTGACTTCTTTTGATGTGCAGAAACTTTTCAGTAAGATGAGATCCCAGTTGTTGATTCTTTGAAGTATTTCCTGTGCAGTTTGGTTTTTGTTGATGAACTCTCTGCCTACCCCTATGTCTTCAACATTTCTACCTACTTTCTCTCCCAGTAGATTCAGTGGTTCTGTATGTTTTTTATTCTCTTGAATGGTTTGCTCAGTCTTGCATTCTTACATCTGGTAATCTGAGCAATTTTGCTGAAGATAACAATATGTAATATAACAATTACTGTTAATTCCTATAATTTTATTCTGAAACCCTGTATCATTTTTTTGTTTTTGTGTTGTTTTGTTTTTGTCTACGTTGGTATTTTGTTTTGTTTTTTTTCCTCTTTAAAATAAAATAAATAAGGAATTGCTGGAGTTAAGCAATAAAAAAAAAAGTTCTTCTAGAAGGCTTAAGTAGTCTTCACAGGCTCTTGCCTAGATTCAGATACAGAGTCCAGAAGCCTCCCCACCTCCGGTCTCACAGATTGGCGCTGGGCTTGGAAAATCACGCTCCAGTCTACACTCACACTGACCCCTGGAAACCCTCCTGCAGAGAAGCAACTCTGGAAAGGTAACTGAGTCCTTGGCGCTGTTCTGGGGACCACATGGATGTGGACCAACCCCAACCACCGAGAGCAGGGCCCAGCCGTGATGGAGATTTTTTACCACGCCATGCCCAGATTACTGGAAATGAGGTCGGAGAAGGTTCTGGATATGGGGGCGGGTCAGTCAGAGTTCAGGGACCTTGGAGGCCGGGCCATGGAGTCCTGGCTTCGGAGAGTGAGGAAGGTCCTTGCCTCACCGTCCCTTGTGCTTGCAGCACGCCCTCCCTGCACAGCCCAGCCTTCTCCTATGCAGACCAGAGCTCAGCAGAGCAGGGAGTTTCCACGCGCTCTGGTGGCGGCCCCAGGTGCTCAGGTGCCATAGCTCCTGAGCAGCGGGTAGGGGTTCCTCAGGCCCCACCCCAGGCCAGGTCCAGCGAGGCCGAGCCACTCCGCTCCCGCCCAGAATCCACTTCTATTTGGCCTGGAAGCCAGGCCAGGCCCAGCACGTGCTTTCCAAGCTTTGACAGAGATTGCAGGTGAGGGGCACTGGAGCTCCAGGCTGCCTTCTGTTGGGGAGCCTCCTTGAAGAGCCATTCTTTGCAATTTGTGACACTAAGACCCAGGCAGAAAGGCCCACATTTCCTTCCGGGGCTTGCAGTCCAGCCCAGCAAGCTCTGGGTTAAAGAACAGAAAGGCCGCCATGGAAAAGGTGCGAGCCTGGCCCTGCAGGCCAGTCAGCTTCTCCTCAGCATCCTTACACCTAAGCCAAGAGGCCGCCACCGTGTGACAGAGAGGAGGGAAGTGAGTGAGGCTTGGTACGCAGCCCTGCTCAGTGACTGTCAATGCAAGAGGCCAAGCGCAGGCTCCACCTCTGAAACCACTCCTGGGCCTGCCACTTGTGCCAGGGTGATAGCCTCTTACCATTAATCAGTGGGACATGTTGTCCCACACCTCCTCCCGCCCTGCAGGACCCCGCAGCACAGCCCTCGCCTTGAAGAGCCCAGCCTGAGGCCAGGGCCAGAGGCCTGTGCTGTGTGTCCCAGGCAGCGCAAAGCTGGTGCTGCAGAGGCCGCCAGCAAGGGCCACACCGCTGAGACCAGGCACGGGGGCGGCACAGACACAACCGGGCACCCCAATGGACCTGGGGCGGGACACCACGCTGCTCACCGGTTTGGAGCGCTGGCTCTCCGGTAGTGGTTCAGCGTGGGCTTCCAGACCGTTGTCATCCTCACTGCTGACGGGCTCGGGGCCACTCGCATCCTGCAGGACATTGGGAAGAGAAGGCAGAGGCGTCAGGCTCTGGGACAGCCCTGGCTGTGACACTCAGCGCCAGGCTGGATGCGGTCTCTGCTCTGTTCCAGGCTGTGCTCAATGGTGGACGTCAGTCCCAACCATCTTGCCAGGAACTGGTACTTGGGAATGGGGTTTGTGGCGCTGGTCAAGGAGGTAAGAACAGAGATTGTGAGAAAGTGATACCTGCATCTTAAAGAAGCCACCGAAGCCACCATCCCCTACCACAGCAGGAAAACAGGGAGCGCAAGTTGCTGTCCCCAAGAATGAGGGAGCAACAAGCCCAGAGCCCAGCCCAGAGCTCTGGCCCTATACAGACAGCTCGGCCAGACACGGTGCGCAGCAGAGAGGGATGCACCTCGTGGAGTTAGCTTGGAAGACGAGGACAGCAGAACTGTGGCTGCAGGAGACTCGCGAGAGAGCCCGGCCTCAGGATGGACAGAAGCATCCTGGCCTGCAGCCTCTCTGGAGATGAACTGTAGCTGGAGAATGTACTGTAATCAGCACCGCCTGGGCCGGGGGTGACCAGAGTACCTGGACCCATCCCTTCCCCAGAATGCCTGTGATCTTCCCACGCACCCTTGCTACGGCACTCGTCTCCGTGCTGGATCGACAGCCCATCGGCTATACCTGTGACACTATAGGCTGACTGCAGTTTGACCCACACTGTATCCGCACTGTGACTTTGCTGTATAAATCACCCCTGACAAAGAGCCTCAGTGGCACCTAGCTCAGGACCCCTCCTGGACACCCAGGCGCTATTCTTCTTCTCTCTGTATTTCCAGTAAAACTCTCCTAACTTCCTGCTTCCTCCACGTTCTGAGACCATGACCTGGGTACATCTGACAGCTAACATGTGGGGAGTTATCTTCCTGTAACACTACCTCCTAATGACAGCTGCCCCAGGGCTGAGCGCAGGTGAGCAGGCGACCTCCCCAGCCCCAGCTTCTCAGGGGCACAGCTGTCTACATTCTCGCTGTTCATTTCTGAAATCAGGTGCCTAGCACCACGCCTGGCACATGGAAGCCATCCGACAAGCACCCGCGGCACTAATGAACGCAGTATTTGTTTGCTTTATGAGTTTTTCCCTGGAGAATCTCAAAAGTACATATTTACTACAAATGAGACATCTGGTAATAACAGGCCCAATTACAAATTCTCAAACTCATGAGGCATATCCTCAACTGAGTTAAGACATGTTAAATGTTACAGGTGATCAACTGGAAGTTTCTTTGCTTTTGTGGGACATGGGAGGATAAGGTGATACAGGGAGAAGCTACATGGTGGTTCTCTGGACTTTGGTTTTAAATCTCTACCACCCTGGGGTTGTGGAATGCTTTGTAAGAAATCAGTTGGGATTGGAAGATATATAATCTCGCTTGAAATTTAAGAGACGCAAATTAAAGCAAAAATACAGCATTCTTTCAGCTATCAAATGGACAACGGAACAGAAGAGGACATTCAGTATTGATAACATCACAGGGAGGCAGGAGTTCTACTTACCATGGAGAGAATGTAACTAGGATAATCTTTTCAGAAAACACTACACAATATGTGTAAAAAACAAATACATATAGAACAAATTTTTAAAACTGCTTACTTGTGGGGAGTGGACTAGGGGAAGGGGGAGTTTTTGTTATTTCTTTCCTGCTTGATTACAGAAGAGTTAGCACGAACTGCTGAATGTTCAAAAATAAGAGTAGGGTTCTGGGATAAACTTGAAAGACAAATGCGTCCAAAAAAAGTAGCCTGGATCCAGGAATTGGCTCAACCCTCCATTTTTCCCTTCAGAATGATCTGATTTGGGGTGAGGGCCTTGCAAATCTGAGGACACCCTGGGGACAGTGGTACGGATCCCCAGTCCCAGCATGCAGAGCCTGCGCCACTCAGCAAGGGCCTATCTGAGGACAGCCGTGTGCGGCACACCCTCCAGTCAATGACAGGCGCCGTGTAGGAGGCAGTCCCAGACAGTAATGACGAGATGTCGCAGCTGTCATGACGTCATGCAGCTGTGTTGTTCTGGTGCAAAAGCACCAGGCTGCCCCCACACACCTCTGTGTCTGGCACACTCAGCACGGATTAGACATGACCAAGCTATGGCTTATGTACTTACTGTAGTATACTTCCTATTGTCAGTCTATTGTTTATGAGTCTACTACTGTATATTACACTTTCTGATATTATTATCTTGTTAAAAAATGTATTTAAAATATGTGGTGTCATGCCAATAGTAGCATCTTACATCTCATTCTCTCTCTCCCTTTTTCTCTCTTTCTCAGACCTGGAGACTGAACAGAAGGGTGTTTAACCACTGAGCTAAATCCCCAGCCCTTTTCAACTTTTATTTTGAGACAGGGTCTCACGATGCTGTACAAGCTGGCCTCAAACTTGCAATCCTCCTGCCTCAACCTCCTGAGTAGCTTGCATTACAGGCGTGCACCACCACTCCCAGCTACCATCTCATAATTGCATCATTTTCTTTTGTGTTTCGTTTAATCTCTGCTTTTGTTCATCATAGCCTTAGGAGCAACAGACTATTCTCTTTCTATACACGCGCACAAGCATGTACACACATACAGAGGGCGGGTATAAACCACGCCACACCATCCTGTGCCTGCAGAAGCACACAGTAAGATGTTCATACAAGGATGAAACGGCCCAGCAGCTCCTCTCAGGACGGTTGCAGCTGGACTGCATGGTGTTTAAACTGCAGACAGGACCACCGGTCAATGACCCGCCCCTTGCGCTACCTGAAGACTGATGAGTTACAAGGAAGGCAGTATTTGCATAACACCAGATGTGTTAACTTTTGTTTCTAGGTTTTCTTTCTCTTTTTTTTCCAGTACTGGGGAATGAACCCAGGGACGCTCTATGCTGGGCCACATTTCCTGTTCTGAGTGTGCTGAGACAGGGGCTCCCTGAGGTGCCCAGACAGGACTTCAGTGTGCAAATCTGCAGTGGACTCCCGAGGCACTGACTCGGGGTCTTCCTAACAGCCCTGCAGGAGCTCACACCTCTGCGACCCCAGGACATGCCTGAGAAACACGCTGTGCTTTAGTAACTTGCCGGAGGGCCCTGAGAGGGCAGGAGATGGCCCAGGGCCAACGTATGAGGAGGCCGATGGCCGGCTCCTGTGACTGTGCCACCCTAAACAAGCACTGCGCCCTCTTCTCTCTCTCCTTTCCCGGTGCTGAGTGCTGATAACTAATCTTACAGAAGACAGATTCACAATATTTTTAAAAATTATTGTTGTAAGATAATGGATTTTTTAAAAGATGGTCTTGCTATGTAGTTCAGGCGGGCCTAGAGCTCACTATGTAGCTCAGCTCAGGCTGGCCTCGACCTTGCTACAATCCTTTTGCCTCAGCCTCCTGAGTGCTGGGATTACAGGCATTCAGATGAGACTTTTGTGGGTTTTTTTTTTTTTTTGTCTTTTTGAGACAGGGTCTCACTACGCAGTTCAGGCTGGCCTTGAGTTCACTTTGTAGCCCAGGCTGGTCTTGAACTCGCAACAATCCTCCTGTCTCAGTCTCCCAAGTGCTGGGATTACAGGCGTGCACCACCACACCCGGTTTGAGACTTTTGTGGTTTTTACAAAAAGAATGAAAGAATTGATGCTTTAACTTGGGCAGAGTGAGGAAAGACAGGCGAAGCACGTTAGTTCCAAAAGATCTGTGCATTCTTTCCGACGAGAGTAGACATAAAATCGAACAAAATCCTCTATGCCCACACTTGTTGGTCACACCAGGCCAGGTCCCAAACACTCATCCCACCGGCCTCCCCTGGCTGGGCGACCAGCGCTCCCTGCACGCCACCGCCTGCCCTTCTTCGCGGATGCCTTCTACCGTTGCCTGTCGCTCTGTGCTCCGAGTCTGTGCAGTGACCTCCCCACTGGACGGACAGTCACGCCATCATCTGTCCCCGCAAAGCCCACGCTCGCTAAGGACGTGGTGGTCCCCGCAGGTCTTCTCTGCTCCCTGACTGCTAGGACTCCAGGAAGGAGTGGGTTACGTCCAGGTGGCGTGGGGCTCAGAGGGAGGTGCACGGGCTGCTGCAGGAAGAGCCTGCAACACCCACCGGCCAGGCTCGGAGAACAGAACAGCCACAGTCCCTGGCGGGGCAGAGCTGGGTCCGCAGCACGACTCCTGGGCCTCTTCCAGGCCTTCCTGGTGGCTTGGGGGCCACGTGGCTGACACCACAAGGATGACGCAGCTGATCTGATGACTCTCACGCCACCTGCCCAAACGGCTGCTGCCAGGGCCCTTCAAGAAGCACTCCCAGGAGTGCGGGGGCTGCGCCTCCACCGCCTCCCAAAGGGAGCGGGACACGGGCCATTCTGTGTTCACGGCTTCATTGTCTTCGCAGTCACTGCTCACCAGCCCCTTTCCACTAGCGGGAACCTTGCCGAGGTCTCACTCCCCGAGGCGAGGTCTTCTGACTAGTGCATGTCCTCAAGGCACACCAGGCAGGCGTGCAAGTGGACATAGCTTCTGTGGGCCCTAGATGCCACTAAAGCAAAGGAGATTGAAAAAGGCCACTGCACCTCCCTCGCATAACTACAGTTTCTTTATCTGCAAAGTACACCTTCTGCTGGTGTAATTTTGCCATTCTGTTTCCTAAATCCAACACTCTTCAAAACACAAAGTGACTGACTGCTCTCATTGCCAGCTGAACCCACAAGTATTTTCTTCCTGCAAAGCTGCACTTACTGGATGCGACAAATTAGATTTCCTTCTCTTATCCCTGGTCACAAGCATATTTATTGGGCTGCTCAGAATTCCAGAGAGGAAGTGCAATCTAAGGTGAAGTGGGCATCATGCTAACGTCGCACCGCTGACCAGCCTGCCAGCTCGCTTGGCATGTGAAGGGCACAGGCGTGGGACAAAGGAAAACACAGGTTGCTTTGCTTGTACAAAGCTTCTCCCAACAGTTCCGAGCCCTCCTCTCCAGGACCGGACCAGCTCTCACAC